AGTTTTGTGACTTTTTTTTTGTCGGAATAAATATATATAACAAAATACGAAACTATTTTGGTGGGGCTTCTATCCAATTCGAAGTTGGTTAAAAAGCTATACTTTCCTTAGAGAGTTTGGATGACATAGAAATAATTCTATATTAATCTCAGATTATGGTTCTAACGACCAAATATATTTATCATCAATTAAATATACTCTGTTTGTAATCATCTACATTAGATATTTGTGGAGTATAAGATGGTTTTCCAATTAGCTAGGCACACATAATGTTATTTATAAATTAAAATATAAAAAATGTTACATAATATCAGAACTTTTTTTTTTGTATAATTCAGTTTTTTACAAAAAAATATACCAACTATGATATACACACATATATATATGTATAAACCTCATATATATGTACTTGAAGACTATACAATCTAATTATCGTTGGTTATATATTTTGGACGGAGGAAATTAAATAAAAATTTTATAACAAAAAAAAAATAAATAAAAATATGGGGGGAGGAGGGGAAGATGCACTAATGAGGATATATGAGTGCTACTGTATCATGCGCACAAGTAATGTGCAAAAATTAACCAAAGAGGCCCACTGCCCCTCACCATTTGCGTTTGGTGTGTAGGCATCACTATGACATCTTATGCTTATGCTCCCATAATCTATTATTAATAAATTCCCATTCCCTTTTTGATTCATTATACCATTTTAAAATTCCACGTTAAAAAAAACACTAGTTGATTTGACATTAAAAAAATAATAATACAAATTGTGTTACACCTAATAGTACAATTGTACTACATATATATGTGTGGATGGATTTTATTTTTTTATTCATTGGTAAAAACGTGGATGAAAAATAAGGATATGCTTTACATCCTATATGTAAATATTTTTAGATAGAAGAAAATTGAGGCATGCAAAAATACATTTACCCCCCAAAAAAGGTACCCCGTATTTAGTTAGTTTATATCAAATTCTCAAACGGGATTTGCCTTTTTCAATTACTTGGACAAATATTAGGGCATGGAAATGGATATTGAGCTTATATTTTTGCAGGTACAAGGGTACAATTTTGTTGTTGGTTAACCTTACCATAAAAAAGGAAAGGAAAGTTAAGGGCATGTGGAGGAGTACAGACGCGTAGAAGTGCCTCGAGCCCAAAACCAAATCCAAAATCTATATCGATTTATGTGTATATATATATATATGTGTGTGTGTGTGTGTGTGTGGTTCGGATGTGGCAATTTTGGTATTCGAGGCAAATCATTCCCCGTGCTTGTAAATGTTATATTTAAAAAAAAATTAAGGTTACGTTTTTCAATTGTAAATTATGATAAACACGATAATTATTGGGAGATAAATAAATAAAATAAAAGAAGAACCAATAATCTAATGGACCCTTTTGTTCGGGTTACTCCACGCAAGAATCATTCCACTCCATGGCGAAGTACATTATGCATGCATATGCGTATGCATTGAATTCTTCTGCCCCAACGTTCTCTCCTCAATTTTATCAGTTTTTAATTTATTTTAAAAAAAAATTCGATGATTATTCTTACTGGAATATATATATATATATATGTATGTATGTATATAATGTTTAAAATCATTACAATGTCGAGCAGTACTTATAGTTACTGTTGTGTCACACACACACATATTTTTATGGTAAATTATTTATATATATATATATATATATTCATAATTACTACAAACAAGTTATAAATTTAAGCCTTCATTAGAGCATTGATGCTCTTTTGCATTTACATTCCTGCCGAGGATTAAATATATTATTTTATATCTCCATGTTTATAGTTACTTATGATTATTATTGCAAACTCGGGTTTGAATAACCCTTTTTCATGTCTTAATTATGGTCTAGTAATTGTTGTTAAACAAAAATATTCCACGATTTTACCATGTAATCGCTAACCAGTAATTTGTACGTGGTCAATTATTTATTGTTTACCAGATTATCAATTTAAACGTAAATAATTTAACCAATAAACCAAATAATTTTTACCGATAAAATTTCCAAAGATTATTAGGTCCTTCGAACAAAATTCAACAATAACTTTGCATATAAACTGAACAGAAATTCAAATTGACATAAACGTTTAAACCCGAAAATATCCTTTTTTTATTCACTTTTAATTTTATTTTTTGGGAGGGAAAAAAGAGAGGGCTAGTTGCCACAATAATGAGACGTGCTGGCGTAAGCATGCGTCATCTGCTTGTCGTTTAGGGCAAAGCCAACAAGACATTATTATTGTGAGACTTTTGTAATGGAGATACTTTCAAGAGATTTGGTTAAATCTTTTTATCATTTACTATTATTATAAAATACTTTTAATATTGTAAAATTTTGGAGAGATGATGATGAGAGAAGGGTCAAGCATGGATATGCAAACATGGAGGCCATCATGTCCCCTCCTTCCCGAACCCTCTGTCCTCGTCAAAAGGTCTCCACATCCATATTTTTTTTCCCAAGTACGGTTCCATAATTCATTCTCGTTACGGTTATATACTTACTACCCTACACAATCCATGCAAAGCTTTTCTTTTGCCAATTTCTATGTAATTTCCGGTACTTAGATTTCCGGTAAGTTTAATTGTCGGTATACAAAAAATTCTTATTTTCAATTACAAATCATGATATGCTATCTGTAATTTGATATAAATAGTTATTTTGGTGTGATTTGCCGGCCACTCGCTTTTCTCTCGTGCATTTATTTTATTTCCCTTGCGTTCTCTCAAACTTGCATGGGAAAGTATTTGAGCCGGATGATGATTAGAACTGTATTATATATATATATATAATACATATATATATATATATATATATATATATATATATATATA